TTGTCTGAGTAAAACGAGAAAAACCAACTCGGCCATCGGTTCGCTTTCACGTGTATAAGCCACGAGTCAGGATTAGGCAACCAGCAGAAGTTCTTCCCAGGGTGCGATAGTGGGCTCCCCAAGCACTGAGGGCGCGACACTATCGCGACCCAAAAGTGCGCGGCAATGGCGCTAAGGCCTTGCCGCGCTGCCAGCGTAATCCACCACGGCATACGTGGTCTCTGCGTCTCTCGCGTACGACGTACTATCTCGCGTTCTCCCTCTCCTCGCAGCGCTGTGTCTCTCCGTCGTACTACGGCCGGCCTCCTAAGGGAAATTTAGTGTTTTCTATGGTGCTTTTTGCTTTTTCTCCTCACTAATGTTCCTCATTGCACCCCTTGCCTAATGTTTGAACAAAATAACGCATCAATTCAATCCCGACTCGTGCCTTTAAGTACATAGGCTTTGTGAGGGAAAGTTCACTCAAAATCCACTACGATATCAAAAGAAAGTCGATTCGGTGGGTTATCTGAAAAAGTGGACTGATGCCAGATCACAAAGTCCTTTTATTTATTTTTTCCATTGTTTTTTTTTTGAAGAAAGTGATTACGATGACTGGAGGGCGATGAGGTCTCGATGAATTCATTAAACTACTGAACTCCTCACCGCGCTGAGGATATGGATGAGACTGCCTCATAATGCCCACCAGTAATCCTCACTGACGTCATCAATACCGCACCGCCCGCAACCATTGCGATCGCTGTCTTTAAGTTTATCCTTCGGCAGAAAGTTCGTAAATCGCACGCAGATTGGTTGCAACTCATCTTAATATGATGATCAAAATTGCAAAGCAAGAACCCTCACGTGAAGAAGGTGACTGCCCAGATGGCAGTGAATGGACTTCACGTGCCGTAAGCGATGATTTGGGCCTGAAAGATGGATTTCCCTGGAATTAAGGAAGGTCAATAATGATTGGAGAAATGGGACAAGACGATCTTCAAAGAGCCAACAGAATAAAATCGTCTCTCAAAGGCAGTTGTCAGATAACTTTTGTGGAATCAACTTGGACCAAAATCATAGGCGCTGGACTGCTTCATTTACATTTACTCTTACCCGTGCCTGACCATACCCATACCTGTAGCCAAATCATGACCCTCCCTCTTACCCATGTACCCAATACCATTACCCACACCTCTTACCCACGCTCACACCTACAACATACCCTTGCTCGAACATGTCCATAGCAATGCCTACATATCTGCCTCCTCGTGCTATCAAACCCTAACCTACTCTTACCCAAATATACCACATTGCGTACCGCGTGTTCCACCGTGTGGGGCCGAGTTCACACGAAGGAGCCTCCTTTTACTTGATTTATTTGGCATTTTTTGATTGTCCCTACCTGTTTGCACTCATTTTCAGAATCGAAAAAATGTATGTTATCAGTGAAAAAAATGTTGACAAATTAATGATGACTCATCAGAAAAAAAAACGAAAAAAATGATCAGGAGATACCAGCACAACAGCAGTCAGCAGTGCTTTGAACTCATATCCAGGGACGAAAAATGGTCAATTTTAGCGCTATTTTTTCGTTAGGACATGGAAGAAAAAGACGAAAAAGGGCCTTTCTAAGCAGCACCCCAGCTGCAGTACTCAAGGTTTCTTGTAGAAGGTAATACCAATCAAACCACTTGTAACCTGCGAAATGGCATGGCTACAAGAACGATAGCTCAAGTGCGGGATTTTCACCAAAAAAATGCCCGGACATCGCACGAAACAAAACGGTGAAGGCGAAAAAGCTAACGGTTTCCCTGTACCTTTTCCAGGCGGTATTCTTCAACAATACAATTACAATTTACAATCAATTTATGCTGTCAGAACAGACATCACACAATATTCACATAATAAACAATAAATACGACCTGAGACAATGGGTCCTCTCGTCAGAGACTATCCTTTTTTATAAATATCACAAATAAATCGGTCATATCACATGGTCTTCTCGACTTCAGCTATCATTGGGAAACATTGCTAGCCCTTCTTGTCAACCATAAAATCAACAAATAACAGCTATGGCGGGCATTCAGGGGATGCACTCCAGCGCGAACACCCGAAAAATCGGAGCGCAGCATTAAATGCACATAATATTGAAATATGCTTTAGTAGAACAAAAAAAATGTCTTCTATTGCCTAAGGTCCATCGAGTTGGGTCAATATTATTAAGCCTCTTAAGAGATAGTTACAGATTGCTGCATAAAATTACTAGAAGCATTGCAATCTGGCTTTATACAAATTCTAGCGATTCTGAGCAGAACCACACGTCTCCTCAGTTCTTTTAAGCATTCTCTCTAATAATCGTAAATAAAGTACAGGCTCATTTGAACGTCGTGTCCACCAGTTGAGTAGGAAGAACTCGTCATGAAATCTTTTGAATACGTTGCGCGATACCGAATCTTTGTAATGTAGCCCTGAAATAGAGCTAATAAGACAGGAGGTATCACGGAGGGTCGCACCGGCCATTTGCAGTTGCGGAAGGAATAGTCCGAACGCGCTTTCGCGAGATACGGGCCACTTCTAGGAACTAACTTAGCGGAAGGGCGGAACTTCGGGGGAAGTTTTAACAAAAACGATGTTTACGTAGTTTCTGATGCATTACCACCCAATGCCCCCGTATCTTGCGATAGCGCCTCAGTAAAAATGATGATCTGAAGCAATTCGTACCAGTTCTTGATCCATGCATCATACGCTTCGTCCTTCCACGCACGGAACGCCAAGGGATCCACAACTGTCGGTTGGGCGATTTCCGATCCAGGGAAAACACCCCATGTAACAGCAATCGGAGTTGTTTGCTCACCGTTCATACGATCGAATGAACCCTAAATTCTCTCTGCATGGATCGATCGAATTAGAACAGAAAGCAGCTCGGATCGAAAGCAACAAATCGTTGACACGTCCTACGTGTGTCTCCGTATCTCATTTTTCATATTTTTGTAAACAAGCATTCATCTAACAACAATTTCACCTGCATTCAGCTGAAAAAATAGTTACCGAAAGTTATCACGAATAGTAGTCTACACTTGCAGTGTACTTCAACCGCAACACAATATCATCAAGTGCATTGAAACTTAATAAGGAGACTAGAGTATGAGGAAAGTCGGCATGCGGTAACACAAACGCTCCCTTCCCCCTCACGGAATTTTTAGTACGACCACCTTTTCGCATGATCAGTGGAAAGCCGGCTGGCGTTGATGGGCGGCAACAGCGTCGAAGAGCCCTGTTAACTAACTGTTGATACCTGGATACACTCCCTAACTCCTCGTCTCGCCCCAAATGGGATTGGGAGAATCGGTATATATGGAGAGATTAAATAGCAACTTAAATTCTGAGGCGTTATTCATTTACCCACCTATCTCCCCCACTGACTCCATTCAGTCCACTTCATACCCACTTCTCTCTACCGCTTCGAATACGGCCCTCCGTCGAGGAATCTTCGACGTTTTTCACTCTAGTGATGACGAATAAGATAATGCGCTCCATAACGAAGTATAAGATGCAATGCCAACACTTTTTGAAGACGTCCGCAGCGCAAAATCCTTTGGCCCCCTCTAGATGAGATTAGCATTGCTTACAGAGCAGACCTTCTGCGTTTACCTCTCCCCTACTGGTGAGTTGAATTAAAGCTCACTTTGCTCCACTCATTGCTTTTAGACTGACAATGATGCATACGAACCAATATAACGAGCGTGAGTGAGAAAAGCAGTGAGATCTACCAGAGGAATTCCAAGGTAAAGCTGTTTCTGTAGTAACAAAACGTACGTCATGATTGATGAGATGATAGTTAACTCGCGGGTAGTAATCGTCGACGATCTCCAACAGGGACTTGGCATTTTCTTTGCTGATGAAACATTCGAGATACGCCTAGAAACTTCGGATAAGTGAAATGAAGAATCCTATAAGGTACGAATACGCCCTCTAAATAAAGACCTATAGAACACTTTCCAATTTGCACTTCTCCACCCCCCCCCCCCCCCCTTTGAAAAACGTCAGTATTGAGCAGTAACAAACTAATCCTATCAATGTCAACAAAGTTTTGCGACTTCACATTGATTTTAAATTTATTCAACTATGACATACAATAACATCAATCATCTGAATGTCTACCCCATAGAATTCACAACTTTTCTCCATCGATCCAGCAGTAGATGGTTTCCTCCTATAGAAATCACTAGTCTGACAGTTCAGTCCCAAAGTATTACAGTATTTATAGTGGCTGTGGTCAGTGCATATTTTTCAAAAGAGTATTTGATATTTGATATTGATTGATATTGTATTGATTGATATTTGATCAAAGGGGGTAACAGCTTCTCTTGAGTGAAGCCTATAATTTTAGAAGCAACCGGCTGGTTTTTTTTAATTGTAGTCAGCCAGGGCACTGATACTACTCTTGGCAAAAACACATGCTCATCCAGCTCCTCATAAGGATTATGGAGTGGGAAAATTAATTTTTTTAGCTTGCGAGGCAGATCTTCTTTAACCGAACGAAGATGGAGGGGAGAGTTTTCCTGGACTTGAAGACACTCACAAAGTTTAACCCTTTCGGACCTGAATTTTTCCCCGTGGAGAAATTTTTCTTCTAGCTATTGTTTATTACTTGTGAGCATATAATCATTATGGCGAAATTTGGAAGCTATTCGATCACAAACAAAGAAACTAAGAAGCTTTGAAAATTGGCCCACCTTCTTAGTTTTTAGCTTATGTCGAAACAATTCCAAATTTCATAGTTATGCCGAAAAAGTTTATAATCTTGCACAACATTATAACCCATAATTTTGATTAAGAATGGATCTACTTCAAGTATTTTAAGAAAAAGTGACACTTACTTGA